AAAACCAAATGTGTAGCTTTTCTACATCATTCCTAGCAGGAATCATTGACGAAGTGACTTAAATGAATGCATCTGTAACCAACTTCAGTGTTAGATTTACTTACCTTTCAGTCACATGCAAGAAATAACAATGAGGTCTGATTAAACTTACTTGTCAGAAGCAAGTTTGTGCAAACAAGATAACCTTTCAGAAAGTATTGAACATAGTTTTCATCAATCCAGTATTTCTGTGAAAAAACTGTGGTTTTGTATTGGTTTAATGTAAATAGCAATTACTGATACGACTCTAAGAAATTAAATAGATTCTCTACTAAAATCAAAGACCAGAGATATTTGCTAAAAGAAGTCTATAGAAAAAACACCTTCTGCTAAAAGATGGTGGTAAATTTGTCTCAGCTTCTTTTAAATACTTTGAACTGTATTGATGCTGAAAATGTTCCATATAAGTAAAATTATCTTTACCTTCTTTTACAAAATGAGTGAGGTTTGTTTATCCATAAATACCTTATGTGGAACATTTTACAATTCAGATAGTGCTTTTAAATCTGTCTGTGAAATCTGTATTGAAATTGTTGATTTATAATTTCACCACCTTTCACCATCTGCAACATCTCTTAATGACTTATAAATGCCATTCTGCATTCTGAAGTTTTTAGCACTACCTTGTCAGATCAGGGACTGGAGTTCTCCATTCATTAAAACATTACTAGAAATGGCTGCAAAAATCTTTTTGAAGAGAGGGAATAACTCCATTTACATAAAACCTGTCAACTTTTAAAATTTGAAAACCTTCTGATTTCCTAAATAGAAATGAAGACAATAAAAGGCACTACTACCAAACTGCATGTCCTTGTTAAGGACGCCTTAGATATAAAGTGAGTCTCAGTCGGAAAACTTCAGATTTGACCACATGACTGAAGAAAAAAAAATCCCTGTAACTATGATGTGATATTTTCAGTTTGTTGCATTTCTGACTCTGGCCTTTGCAGTACCTGATCCATTTCATGTTCTGGCAGATTTACGTTCTCCGGGGAGACACGGGGAATCCTGGGAATGGCCGGTGAGTAATTCCTGTTGTGAGAAAGGAGGAAAAAAGAAGTGAGACTAAAAACACTTCTTCACATCTCTGCTCCTCCCAAGCAATCATCCCGGGGTTTATTTATGTCTGTGGAGCACCCGTCATTCCCCATCCTGCTATTGGCTCATGACTACTGGCTTTGGCTCGCTACCCTGCTCCCCCTCCCAGCCCCCCTTACGCTGTGCCCAGCCCTCTCTCGTACTCCAGTGATTTCTTGGGGGAGAGGAAATCGTCATCATGGTCTTTCATGTCATCCATCTTCATGTACCTGGCCCCTTCTGTCCCCAAGAGCTCCTCTCCTTCAGAGAACAACATGCCAAAGAGAGCGAACAGATCGTGGTCAGGTTGGTGACACAGCACAGGAGAAAGAGAGAAAGAAGACAAGACTGTTAACGAGCTGTTAGAGGGGTTAGACAGCATGACACCCAAAATGATGGCTGTGATATTTAGAGATTAGACTGATGACATGAGACACTAATGACTGTATTTGTTTTCACACCGAACTTGTATCGCTGCTTCCACAGAAGAAAACGAAGACGTTCAACAAATAGATGAGGTTAAGAGCAACACTACAAATCACAGTTTTGATCTCAGCTTGCTGAGACATTTAAAGCAAAAAACTCCTGGATATGATGACAAAATCACAGAGGATGGCTCAAAAATGAGTTTTAGACACACAAAGGACTTCTTGAAATGCAACTGAAAACTCTTAAGACAAAAATGTTGTGCCCTATGTAAACTATAGATGCTGATTTACCTCATTGGGATCTTAGTAATCCACAGCACAAACAGCATCTCTGAGTACAACACATGAATCTGAATAACATCTTGTGAGGCGATTTGGTGGTTTGATTATTTACCCCAGAACAGAGGAGGAAAAAAAGCAATCGATAACTAGCAGCAAAAGAAAAAGAAAGCTTCCCTGTGTCGGATTTTTACATGAGTGCGTGTCTGCACTGTCCGCAGCATCACAAGTCAGCTCAAGTCCTCTACGTCCTCTGCTAAAATTTGATCATATGCTAGAAAGCAGGCGCTTCATAATATATGCTGCTACCACTTTACCATTCTGGATTTGTATCTTTAAGACTGCAAAAGAGCTACTTTCTATATTTAGAGACAATCTGATCATTGAACTATCAGGGGACTAAAAATATCAAATCACAATATGCCGAGACATTTCGGTCAACAGCATTGTAAAATCAAACTACCATCCATGATTTTTAGCCACTACATGGAAACACAAATACAATCTTAACTGTGAATAGACCAAAAACAGATCCCTTCTAAACTGATATACATGTTGTCTTTTTCATTTAAAAAAATAAAAAAATAAAAGTAAAGGCATCGATTTGACGCTGTGCTTCTGCACACCTGATCATGTTCAGTGAATAGTGCCTCAGTTTTGATCTCTCTCTCTATGTATGTCCGTCTCCAAATAGGACAATCAAACCAAGTCCAGCAAGGGATGTCCTGATCCCAGCTCAGGTGTCAGGTCCTGATCAAGACACTTTTAAATCGACCAATATTTCGTCTGCGTAAACTCACCGTCCTCCTTGTTGTTGGTTCTTTGTCATGTTTGTCAGCTTCAAGCATTGGCTTCCAGTGAGCTACCCAGCCACTGTTTGAATGGCAAAGTTTGATTTCTACTCTAGTTTTGTCGGCGCAATTTGCAAAACTGTATTTATAGGCTGTGCTCGTGTAACATTGCTTTGTGGATCTAAATAATCCGGGTATCCCCTAACACTGAAAAGCTGTTGTCACACCATTCTCTCACATTTTGCTGAACAAAAAAGTGTTTTGACATCCTTTAACTGTGTTACGCAAGTATTTTTGTTCACAGTGTTTTACTGCACCAGAGGAGAGTTAATATATATATCAGTGCAGATAGAGTTTCTGCATGAAATAAATAAATTTTATTATGGGTCATTGCTGTGATATTTGAGTAGCACCTGCATTACTTCAGTGGTGGTGGTATGTGGAGTAAATGTGGATTCTTAGAGTTGTGTCACTAATGCTGCTTCTGACTAAAACAATCTGTGTCGACTTGCTATGTTCAGTAAACGTCATTCTGTGTGGGAGAGAAAATAAACTTGCCAACACTGTACAACACTGTACAGTGTTGTACAGTGTACAAAACAGCACAGCAGTGCTGTTTTGGAAGCACTGCTCCCAAAACAGACAACACTAATCCACTATGAATGGCTACATGTCACAGAGCAGGTATCTGTGATGTTTACAAAACAATGGGGGGGCAAAAAAGTGACACCTGGAGAGTTAGAGAATGAGGGTGTTACTGAAGGGGCGTAGAGAGGTCACAGACATGGGTGCCATGGGTGCATGCCAATGAGAAACCAGAGCTACCACAGTGAGCACCACTACAGACGGACTGAGAGAGAAAGGAAGGCGAACAAAGATGGCGAGAGCTTGAAATGGAGCCACACAGAACTTTACGAAACACTCTGAATGCTGCAAAACAAACAAAAGAAAAGAAGTAGACGCTCATACCTAACGTTAGCTGTGCAATTCCTAAAAAGAGCAAAGGGCAAAAAGAGTTGGAAAAAAAAAAGATATTCTTATATTTCAAACACCCTGAGTTCCCGCTGTTTTAAGGTGATGTTTTAATGTTGTACCTTCATCCTCAGACACATCTAATATCTCATCCACAGTTTCCGGAAAACTCATGCGATGCTTCTCTGTTGTTGTCTGCGGAGCACAGAAAGAAACCAGAGTCAGATATGACAGCAATACAGAAAAAAGCTCTGTGGAATTGCAAGTGTTACTGCACAACTGTAACACTGGAAAAACATTGACACTTCTAAACTCCACACCATAGAAACAGTCTCCTCAGTGACGAGCTTCAGGACATCGATGACAGAGATGTATCCCAGCCTTTTCGCAATGGCCAGCGCTGACATGCCATGCTGTAGAAAAAAAAAAAAAAGAAGATGATTACATCAGAGAAGAAAAACGAATTAGCAAGAAGAAAGCAGTTTGCACTTAAACTCACAGTCGTGGTCTCATTGGGTTGGGCACCATGTTTTAGCAATAAAGTCACAATGTCTGTGTGTCCTTGCTGCGCTGCCTGATGCAGAGGAGTGTAGCCAAGCTGCAAGGGAGACAAAAGGTTCAATAACGTATACAATGCATATTTATCTCTTTTTAATGCAGATCTAACATCTAATCAGACGGCTGTGACTAAGAAACAACTACGCAGCCCCTTTCAACACTCAGGGTAGTTTAGTTCTAAGATCCAACCCTGAATTTTCAGGCGTCGATGGTGAAAAAACTCACCCTTGTTTTGCTGTTAACATTGGCCTGCTGCTGCAAGAGGAACTTCACCATCTTGATGTTACCGTAATGACACGCTACGTGCAGAGGGGTGTAGCCCATCTGTCAAGAGGAAAAAACCCATTGAAAACTCTGTATGATGTAGTCACTCTGAGGAATTCACTAAATCAAGAGTGCAGTTGAATAATCAGAGTCTCATTCCTGTTAGAGGTTGGGACTGCATGTCTGCTGTAAGCTAACAGAGCCATGTGGCCACAGCTTGCATGACACAGTGAAAACACAAATCTGTCTATATTTGTGTGTGCATGGCTTGCTAAAACATATTTTGGGCAGAGGGCATTTTATTCCACCTTCAGCAAAAGATCCACCTAAATGGGATGTTTCAGCTTTTTACCTGTATGTCAATGGTGCTTCATTGTTCACTAGACAGCTGACAGTGTTGGGCAGAGCTCACACTCTTGTCTTGAAAGTTTAAAAGGCAGGGAACCAATTTTACCTGTCTCTTTATTTTCCAGACAAATTAACTCAGATGTTCCGATTTTACTCAAGAAATGTAATACTTTTCATATAAATGATTAAACGTGTCTCCAAATTGTGGTTGTTCAAACACATCCCAAAGCAAAGACATTTATTTATAGCCCTTACATCATAGATTTACTATTCTCTAAGGTCCATGGAGGATTTGTCTCTCTGGGAGAGTTTTGCTTAGTATTAGCAAAAGCAAATATTGGCTCTTTGGACTCTAAGAGCTGCTGACCCCTGTCGTAAGAAACAGAAATGAAGGAGTCTCACCCGTGTGGCAGCGTAGACCGAAGCTCCCTGCTTCACTAGGATATCAGCAATGCCTACATGTCCCTCCTGTGCCACCAGGTGCAACGGTGTTAATCCACTCTGAATTCAAGAATAAAAACACAAATTCATCAAATTTAAAGCATCGCAACAAAATCCCAACCTTTCGCTTTCACACTTTATCCGTCTCCTCTTGCCTTGTTGCCCAGGTTGACGTTGGCCTGTTTGGAGATGAGCAGGGAAACCATGTCAGGCCTTCCCTCCTGCGAGGCGAGGTGGAGCGGAGTGACGCCCTGCAGTGACTCAGCGTTGGCTGAAGCTCCGTGCTGCAGCAGGCTGTTGGCCACCTCCACCTGGTTCTGCTTGGATGCAATGTGGAGGGCAGTGTAGCCATTCTGGACAGCAGAAAGGAGGCGTTTTTTTTTTTGTTTTTTTAAGGAATATGTGTAGTTGATAATCATTTTACTGTGTCACTTAAGACCCATTTTGTGTTACCCTGGCAGCGCTATGTGGTGACCCTCCTTTGCTGACAAGCAAGTTAACAACATCCAGGTTGTTGTGATGTACAGCAACATGCAGCGGGGTCAGACCATTCTGTTAAAACAAGATCAGGGATTTACCGAAGGGAACGTTTTATTCATCCAGGTTCCTGGAACTCTTTGGTTCCCCTCACCTTTCCAGCAGCGTTAGGGTTGGCTCCTCGCTCAAGCAGCAGCTCTGCCACGTCCACCTTCCCGTACTTGGAGGCTACATGCAGCGGAGTGAAGCCTTTCTACAAAAGCACAAAAAAGGTGAGCGGACACAGCATTAGATTAAGTTCACAATCCCAGCTAAAACCGGCTATATAACAAAACGTCACCAGAATATTTTCTGTTACTTTGGTCATTTTGGTCTGTTGGGCCTCCATGTCTAGCAGGATGCGCACTGTTTGAACGTGACCTTCCCGGGCAGCGATGTGCAGAGGCGTGTGTCCAGCTGTGGTGGTGGAGTTGGGGTTAGCTTTGTGGTCAAGCAGAAGCTTCACCAGCTCTTTGTGACCCATCCGAGCAGCACAGTGCAGAGGCGTTTGATCGTCCTGTTGAGGGAGAGGCAAGCAATCAGGAAGAATAGCATGCTTACTAAAAACCTTTACATATTCCACTCTTAACGGATCTGACTTTGTGTAGTTGAACAAAATGTGGTAGGCGAGGTTAGAATAATAATAAGATCTGCTTCAGTGTATCAGTTCTGATAAACCGAATTCAAAATGAATCAGTCTTTGTAACGAAACCTTGCATATTGTTTATTTTAATCTACCTTTGCCTTGGCATCCACTGGAGCTGAGTTCTCCAGTAAAAACTCTGCCACTTCAAAGTGACCCGCCCGACATGCCATATGGAGCGGAGTCTCCACTTTCTGTTTGCAGAAACAAACAACAACAACAAAAAAAACGTATTAGATTCAACACCAGCATTTCAAACATGAGAGCCAGCTCTTTAAGCTGGTTGTAAAATAACTTTAAGCTACACACCACGTTAGAGGCGCTAGGAGAAGCTCCCTTCTGGAGGAGGATCTTCACAATGTTGAGATGACCCATAAAGGATGCAACATGTAAGGGGGTTAAGCCTGACTGTTTTAAAACAGAAACAGGATAAAAGAGCATTAAAATACAAACTTATGAAAACATTTAAACACTTTGGGATAAATAATCTTGAATTCTTACTTCAGTCACAGCTTCTAGTGATGCTGACTGTTTGAGCAGGAGGTCCATCACACGCATGTGGTTCTTTTTGCAGGCGATGTGCAGAGGAGTGAAGCCGTTCTGTAACAACAACAACAACACAGTTACTTATTATTATTGGACAGCAGCTTCGCTCCTGTAGAGACAGAAGCTTTTGGATTCTGTACAGTAAAAGCAGCTGAAGCTCAGCGAGAGGAGTGTCTGTAAACATCAGTTTGAAATTTGTGGATTTATTCCTTGAACGTGAATTATCCATTCTAGAAAATGAAAATGATTTGTGCTGTTGTCCCAATCAAAGGTCAACTTCCCTTTTGTGTGTTTTTTTTTGTTGTTGTTGTTGTTGTTTTACAACTGCCCAGCAATTGTCCTGGATAACTCTGGTCAAATTCCCTGTCCGCGTAGAAGAACGTCATCACCACAGCATTATGCTGGCGTCACTGTTTGTCACCATAGAGATAGAGACTCATAATGGTTCCTACACACACTCCCACCTGAGCTTTGAATCTCCACAGCTCCTCCAGTGTTACCATAAAGTATTCTGGCTCCTTCTCTAATTGATGCTCTCTTTGCCCGGTCAGCTTAGTAGTACGACATGTCTGCCTCATGCTGTTCAATCTCTACTGTTCTCCAACAAACATAAGGCCTTCACAGAACATCTGGATTTATTCAGAGATTAAATTACACACAGATGGGCTCTATTTACCGTAGAGGTTAAAGTCTGAAGCCGAATATTTTGATAGTATTTTATTCAGATCAGAGTAAACAAGTGGCACACTGTCCAGATTTTTCTTTCCAGTTTCGTTTGCATCTGATCTGATCTATGGTACAAATCTCAAAGCGAGAACATTTCAAGGGTTGTGGATATTTTTTAAAATGCACTGATACAGTTCATCACTTCAGTGGAATTTAAAAGAATGATATATCTCTAACCAGAGCCCTCGAGTTGGGTTTCGCTCCTTTGTCCAGCAGTACTTTGGCCATGCGGTGGTGCCCGCAGTGTGCTGCCACATGCAGCGGAGTGAGGTGGTCCAGTGTTACATCATCAATCTCTGCGTTGTATTGCAGGAGCTGCTTGACACAGTCCATGTGGTCCCCTTGTGCTGCCATGTGGATTGGTGACAGGCCATTCTGAAAAAAACAACAACAAAAAAACCAGGTTTACTTTTTTATTCATATGTGAAAATAAGGCTTAACAATATTGTTTCTTCTTACCTTTGTCTTCGCCTGGATTGGAGCCCCGTGGTCCAGCAGGATCTCTATAATTCTGACATGCCCGTTTCTGGCAGCGCAATGCAAAGGCGTCAACTCATCCTGAAAACAATGGATTGTTAATGATTTAGTTGGTGATTTGCAGAATTAGAATATGGGGGTTTAAAATCGGGCAGCTTTTGGTCTTACCTTGGTCTTGGCATCAATCTGGGCCCCCCGGTCCAGCAGGAGTCGGACCATGATCACATTCCCTCGTCTGGAAGCAATGTGCAGAGGGGTGATGCCGTTCTGCAGAAACACAGAGACGAGCTCAAACCAACACCGAGAACAAAAATTAGAACAAATATAAGGATCCCTTTCCTTGTGTTTGGTGATTCTTACTTTTGGAGTGAAGTTTACGTTTGCTCCTCGATTAAGCAGCAGTTGTGCCACGTTCAAGTTTTCATAATGTGCAGCAATGTGGAGGGGTGTGAATCCAGTCTGCAACATGCATTTCAACATTACCACTTCTGCATTTTATGGGAAGAAAAACCACACGGAAAGACAGCAAACACTCCTTTGGCCACAAACCTTGCTGAGGACGTCGGGGTTAGGGTCATTCTGCAAAAGCACCGCAGCTGTGCGCGTATCGTCATTTCGTGCTGCAATGTGCAGTGCAGGGAGCCGGACCTTTCCCTTGGTGCCATAGTTGATGAGCAGAGCTACGACATTCTCATGCCCCTGCTGAAGAGCCACGGCGAGCGGCGTGAATCCATCCTGCAGCACAAGGGAGAGAGTCAGGAGGGGGCTGACTCATGAAGCCAAAAATGGACCGATGCAAGAAGAGAGGCTCATGAAAACAAAGCAGAATGGAAAACACAGAGAGTGTGGATCAGCAAAGGGTGGAACCCTTTAAAAGTCGTCTCTCTTTCTCTCTCGGTTCTTTGGTACCTCTGTTGGAATGCTCTGATTGGCTCCGTTCTCCAGGAGAAACTTCACAACCTCTAGATGGTTTTCTTGTGCTGCCATGTAGAGTGGAGTGAAACCTTTCTGTCTCAGAAAGACACACGATACACACACACACGCACACACACACACACACGCACATGTGCGCGCACACACATACAAGACCACAAACAGCAAAGCCAAATCACAGATGCACACACCAGGATGCACACAAAGAGGAAACACAAACACACAGAAATATCAGACAAACAGAGATGAATTTTAACAGATGGATTTGCAGTAGTTGCTACAGCGGCTAAATTCACATAGTGAGGACTGGGAAGCAGCCTCGGTGAATCATGGGACGTCTGTAGTGAGAGCAGCTCTCACCTGGGACTGAGCGTTGACATTGGCCCCATAGTTTACCAGCTCTGTGACCACCTGCTCCTGCCCTGCCAGAGCTGCAATGTGGAGGGCGGTGTTCCCTTTCTGCTCAAACACAAGCAAATATGGCACAATTACCTACAAGTGAGGTGCAGAGATCTGTACTTCTTTTGCAGAGCTTTGATATTTTATTTTTTATTTTTTGAAACAAGACAAATTCATATTTAAACAAGACAATGTTAAACCATACGCAACTAAAGCAATAATTTCTAAACGTTCAACATGCAAGGTTTGAATAACTGAAAATTTTTCTTCACATCTGATAAAGTCCTTATGTCATCCTTTTTTGTATTTTGCCAAAACACTAAAATGAAATTAATTTTGTTGAACATAAAACTTGGTGATGTTTTGATGCACTCAGTCCCAGTTATGAACAGTTTTCCACTGAATTATTTTTGTTGTGACATAGTCATCTTGTTTTGTTTTTTTTATGTTTTGTTTTAGAGCATCTGAACTGCAGATAAAATCTCTGTGCTACAACAAAATTGAGGAGATTCAAAAAGTTCAAAAATAATATCAGCTGAATTCATCAGAAAATTAGAGCAGGAGTCGTCTGATTATTCAGGAAGCTCATGTGAGTAAATCACACACAGAATAGAATAGAACCAACATACAAGAAAAAAAGCAAAGAAAGGTGATGGTTGGTTGTTTGAGCTTGTGCCTGATTATGCATATTCCTTAATATTTTAGATGGAAGTTGAATTAGAGAGTGAAAATGAGCCAATTGCTTGTTGCAGTCTGTTATGATGACCCAGTAAGCACAAAAGGATTCAATGAGGACTGACTTAACCAGATCTTTTGCAAAGCCGTGGGACAGGTCAGATTACTCCTGTACAGGTGAAGCACATCACATATGTTTCTTTCGGTGGGGGGGTTTTCTCTTTATTTAAAACATGAACGGTAGCGCAGACTACCTCGTGAGCACTGTTCTAACCCCAGCTGGTGCGTTTCTCCCTTTGCATGATACCTCACCTTTGTGGTGGTCTCCAGTGTGATTCCGTTGTGAAGCAACTCCAGCACCATTTTGACGTGGCCTTCTTTGGAGGCCAGATGCAGCCCGTTGAGCCCATTCTGAGGGAGAGAGAAGAGCAGACCTGATACTGGAGAGTCCTACACCAACCATGCGCACACGGTGGGAACACAGAAGCACACGAGCGCCATGCCAGCTGAAATGGGTGGTTCGAAGTCACAGTTACGTCGTCACTCACCAAACACACCAAGCGTATTACTGAACAGCATGCAATATGCCAGACTCGGAGAGGTTATCATCAAAAACGATGTCTACAGGAATGAAAATCAAGACGAGGACTTCTTTTCATTCGCTTAGTGGCGGTTATAGGAGGAGGGAAGAGAGGGGAGGGGATGGCAGGCCGCTGGTCTCATGGCTGGGAAGAATACGAGCCGTGTGGGATAGGTCTAACCTCACACAGCCTACCTTCAGCCGCACAGGACATGTGAGGTTGGACCTTTCCCACACCACTGATATTATTCCTCTGAGTGGGGAGACCACAGCACACCATCACTCTACTGGATACAGAGGAGAGAGAAGGAACAGAAAGCAAAGATGAAGGGTAAAAAAAGAAGCAGAAACAATAAACTGAGGTGAGCATGAGGACCAAGAGGAGAGAGTGGGGAGAAAACACGGTGAAGGAGTGAGGATGTGTGCTGGTGATAAGAGTAGGAGGCGTCTACTCAGACCAGAAAACAACCCCAACGTATAAACGAACTTCACAATGGAGGCAAAGTGATAATCTGCAGGGGTTTTTTTTTCAGAAATATATTTGTATGAATGTAAACCTTGCTGCATATCAAACCAAAATCAGAAAACATGATCCACATTTTATATTTTATCTGATTTTGACTTAGTTTTCTATAAATAAAAAACTTCAATTGCAATACTGTAAAACTATGAGAATTATCACTTCAACTCAGGTACAATTTACACCAAACAAAACAACAAGGTGGCTGAGAAGAACACATTTAAATCAAATATCACTCAAGAATATTGGAATCAAAAACAGTCTGTCATCGGACCGTTTTTAAAAAAAAAAAATCTATCTGTTGTGTTAATCAATGAGCTCTCTACGAATCCCACACAGAATTGAGTCACTTTCCATTTATATTTTTGTATTCATCTGGAATCTGTTGAGAATCTTTTGTAATTGCCGTCTTGGACCAAAGGTTGAAGAGAGCAAAATTAAACTGGGGACAGGCAAAGTTTTTAGGAGCCCGGGGGCATCTGTAATGCTGCCTCTTCCTGGACACTCAGGGAACAACTGTCAGAATAAAGGAGGCAGGATGGAGGAGATGTAGCAATGGGAATCCTTTGCACCATTTATTAACACACTGAACAGTAGCTTTCCCCTTAAAGAACCGATTATCAGATTAACAGAGCATGCACGAGGTGAGCAAACAGGCACGGTGCTCAGTCCATGCATGCTGAGCAATTAAAACACACACAGAAATACAAATACAGAAGATATAAGTGCAAGTAATGAATCATAAAAAAAGCCTGATCTGCCTGTTTTTATAACTTATATAAAAATTACTGAATGCAACAAAATAACACAGGGAATTGTCTCATTGTTAAATGTGTGTTTTTACTGCAGAAGCATTTATGGGGACTAAAATAGTTTTCTTGGGCCATTTTTTTTTACACCCATCATTTCTACTACAGGAAATAACACCACAAAAAGGTCCTGGGAGGGAGAAGAAGGTCCTATAAGCAGATGAGCCACAAGTGAGGTTTTGAGGTGCGAAAGAGCTAAACATTTGAACACAAATATTCCCAACTTTTTCATTCATTAGTCTCCCAATTTCAATGACTCCACCGTCCATATTGTCTTTAAACTGCATAGCAAAGTTGTTAGTATTTTGGTTTGCAAACACACCATTAAAACTCAGTTTATTCATGTCGAACGTTGCAGGGTTTCACAGAGATTATATTCAAATACACAGACGGTACAGTCAGCTGTGTGGAGACAGAGTGGAAGCTAATGGAACGGGATATTTAAGGATTTAAACTGATATCAATGGAATAATTTATAGTGTTTAGTTTAGATACAGATTATTATTATTATTATTATTATTATTATTATTATGTATTGTTAACAGATGATCAGTTCAGTTTGCTGGAGACTAAATTAATCTGGGGAATGTTATCTCACTCTCTCTCTCTCGCTCTCTCACCTGATTGGCTGTATTGATATCAATGCCATTTTTTATATGTTCCAAGGCCTTGTCCAGGTTGCCAGATCGAGCCGCTCGGAGAAAACTGTTGCCAGCATCTGCCTGAAGGAGTAGAAAAAAAGGATGGGAAAAACAGGAGGGAACAATGGGTTTCAGAGAAAGTGAGAGACACGTAAAGGAAAAGAAAGGGAAATAGAAAAGGAGAGTGACTGGTTAATATTTTTAAACAAAACAACAATTAAAACACCAGGGATCATACAAAGTCGACACTTGTCCGCCAATTTTTCCCTCATTTCTTTCCTCCCTCAATCAATTTTTGATTGCAGGTTGAAAATCTGCTTCTGCGGTTTGGAGTCCGAAGGTCTGACAAGCATCTGACTGAGGAATTGCAGCAGAAACTTCAAATATTCCCTAGATATTATCAGCCACTCACATAATGAGGAAATGTAACGTAAATACAACGACGATGCTTTAAAAGAAAGAGAGAGGGGCAGAGCGATGAGGGGTCAGTGGGTCCCGGCTCAGGGCCCGGCACATTGCACGCCTAGTGTTTGTGTCTGTGTTTTGTCTGTGTCTGAGGGCTTCGTGCCTCTCCCAGGCAGGCAGGAGTGCCGCTGGAACGGGATCACTCAAGCGGCTCTAGGGGAGGTGGGGGGGGACAGAACGAGAGGAGAGAAAGAACGAGAAGCAGTTCTGGGAGTAACTGCATCAAAACCTGGAGGTTTTCCTTTCATTCACATAATATCCACTCTCACTGTGTCTCCCCGCGTCACTCCATCCAACCAGATTTCTCAAAATGCTAGACAGGAAGAGGCTGCAGTTGCATGTTTGCACATATATGCAAATAATGGATTCATTCACTGTGCAGACCTCTCAAAATGCTGCAAAACACGGTGCTTTATGCTTTGTTGCATACTGTTGTGACAGTGCTGTTGGTTGAAAGAGAAAAAGACAGCGAGAGAGAGGCGGGGGGCTTTGGTGAAAAAACAGAAAGGATCCGCATGCCAGGAGTAGAGGCATAGCAACAAATGACACAACCCACCCTCAGCGGGACACCAGTCACACAAAACTGTGCAAAGAGAGAGATCACTTTAAAAATAAGGGACTCTGTTGGCAAGAAAACTGAAAAGTTCCAGAAGTTGCTTCCAGCTGATTGTGGCACCAAAACAACATCTGACAAGTCTGTGTTCATGTTGAAATTTACACAGTGGCAAAGCATGAACTCACGAGATGAACTGCAAATCATGTTCAGACTTCTCTGTGCAAAGTCCTAAGGTTTTAAGAGAGTTATTTGTCTAACGTAGTTTTTTAAATTTCTTTGCAAACAACCCAGAAGCACACCCATGAACGACATGAACATCTTGTTTTGATCCAACAAAAAAATCCACATCTGAATTAACTTTTGAGAGTTTTGATATTCACGTTTACCACCAGGGATGGATGTGTGATAACTCTGAGTAAAAATACCACAGCTTGGTAAAATAACATTATAACTTTTAATTAATCAGATTGTAATCAGTTTTTCAACATTTTGATTTTGATTGGACTTTGCAAAAATGTGGGCACCTAGTATAGCCTACATAAACTTTTTTCCTCTTTCTAGAGTAACACAGCTATAACGACTTGATATCAGCTGCCTGGATACACAGGCTGCAGAGCAGACAAAGCATCCTCTGAACCAACAGGCAGCTCACAGCTTGCCAACGGTAGAGTTAAAACAGTACAATGCTGTCTGGGAAACATTTCCAAATAGTTGAGATTGTTGATCTTTGAAAGTGTGGGAGCCTCGTTTCAGTCAGCAGACAAGCAGTGTGCAGCTACAGGGGCAACTGGGACTTGTTATTTTCTTCATGGTTGTTTTGATGGGTGTCCTTTTGTGTCTTCAGGTTTTCTACTGTCCCTAAAAAGCTGCAGCCCTTCAGCTAGTCTCGCCTCTGTCAGTCGTCACTGCTTTCTTCTTTGAGCATGATATTTTCAGTCAACCCTTATCATGCTCTTTGGTCGAATTGTTATTTTGTTGTTTAATTTTTACTATAAGACATTATCCTGCCTGCTCCCATCCTGTATTTGGATCCTCACATTACAATAAACATGGCAGCAGCGTCGTATATCTCTGTGCCACATCCAGCAGATGAAAATTTTGAAAACTCCAAACTTTCTCTGGGCTCGGAGTATTGGGACTTCAATAGCACAACAACCAATATTTAATTTAACGTAAATTAAATATTGATTTAATTTGTATTATGCACATGAAAATATGTAGCCTGGTAAAAACCAGAGCCTTGTGCTACACTTTGCTTCTTCCAGAAGGTCTGGGATCTCGGCAGTTGAGAAACGATTTCTTCCTGGATGCGTGGAAGAAATCCAGGAAATCCTTCAAATTGAAATTTGACCCAATTGATAGCATTTGCCTTTTACGTATGTAATGCTCCAATTTAACACTAAGAAACTAACCGGAAATTGCCTGCTCTGTAAACAACCATCCTCCACTGACAAGAGAGGAGTGCCGATCCGAATGAGGCGTCTGTTTATGTTAATTCAGTATGTGGAAGCATGACCAACGTAGATTGAATGGCTTCGTTCACTTCCTCCGCTGCCAGACCTAAAACTGCTGGCAGGCTACAATTCTAAAGCAGCTCAGAAAATCAACGTCAATGTGCACAACTTCTCCTTCTGCTTGCTGACTGGTCCAGTAGAAAAAGCTACCAAACACAATCTAAGTCAAGTGAAGAAAGCCCAGAATGTGTTGGAAGTGAGAATGGTTTCTGAGTGAAATTACACAAGGAGATTATGGCCAGGCTAGGAAATATGTAATATTACAACAAATACTGGCCAAAACAGGTCTACATAATGGAGGAAGTGCAGGACGGATATCAGACTGTTTTATTTGTGTGCAGTTATTGATGGGTCAATAACTGACCAATGCAGAGTTGCCACACACACACACACACACACACACACACACACACACACAACAGACTAATGTCCTTTTTCTCAATGTCCAAATCCTCTTGTTAATGTAAAACTTGCAAATTATTTGCAAAGCTTTTGTGTTTTTGTTATATTTGGTTCTTGCTGACCCTGTCAACATCCAAAACATCTTGTTCACCACAGAAACAGCAAACTGCTGAAAAGAAAAGAACTTCACACAGCATGGATGCTCTTGTGAAAAATTGGAGCGTACCTAACACCATGCTGACCTCAATGTGAGCCCCTTTACAGTCTGCAGATGTCCACACAACAGCAGCAACTCATTCTCAAAGCCCTGCAGGAAGAATTTCCCTTCACGGCAAGGATTTCCTACTGCGCACTTCTGCATTTTCATGCGTTTGTCTGATTACCAGCTGACGTCAAGGAGGGAGCGCATGGTGCGGCGAGATAAAGAATCAGGAGAACCACACCCATCCCCGGGCTCACACATAAACAGGTGCAGTTCGCCTGCTCTATATAAAGAGATGACAGGAATGCGTGATGAAACAACTCCTCAGGTACATTTAGCTGAATTGGATTTAAATGAATGATGCCTCCCTTCTTTTCTGTATCTCCCACGGAAAGTGGTTGAGCTTGAGCCTTCTGGACTGAGCAGAACCAAGCAAGCACATTAATCACACTGTTCAGAGTTGAAAGAGCAGACAATAGCCTGCGCAGAAGCGTTTTTTGGTTAACACGGGTAGCATCAAAACACAATGGCTCACAATGTGCAGCTGTCCTCAGGCTAAGACTGGTGCACAGCTTCTCATAATGAAGCTCAAAATTATCAATCGAAATTAATCTCTCGGCGTCATCCATCACAGCAAATCCTCCCAACACTCGTTATTTTTTTTCTTCTGTTACGTCCGTTCCCTTTTCCACCTTCACGTCTCTTACGTTATTGTTTCTCCTGCTCAGCTTCCTCTGCTGGTGCCGCAGCAGACAGAATGACATCACCCCTCACTAGTGCACTGCAGTGTTCAAAAAGATGCATGTGTGTGTATGCATGCACATGGAGCAATCAGTGCTCCAAACGAACAGGACAAAAATATTTTCTTTTTTTTTATGATGCTGATTTCCATTCAAAATCAAGAGAGTTTTGAAGCAGATGTGAATGAGTCAGCCTCAGTGTGTGTGTGTGTGTGTGTGTTAATGTGTGAGGGATAGAAATAAGATGAATGAGAACACTTACACAGCTGAAAGCAGATCTTCACGCTCTTGTAACAACTTGATCTTACATTACAAACTAGAACTTTGTGAACCAAAATGTACATATTTTAAACCATTTACTGAATCACTTCTTTAATGCAACCGGCTCTTTCTCCAGCACTTAATGAGGATTTGATCCTTAATCTGCTTCACATCCCTTGCTGGGCAAATACAAGCCCAACAATATTGTTTCTGATACAACTTAAATGAAAAGTTTGGGACGTTTCACCTGAATGCTGGTTAGATCAGCAAGTGATCAAAACTTGAGTTGAAATATGAGGATTTCTTTAAAAAATGAGCAAACAGGTTCCAACTAAAGACGTCTTTCCTTTGTGGACACACACACAAACACTGACACACAGACACCCACGCACACAAACATATAAATAAACCTGGAAATTTGCTGATGCAGCACCAGGTGCAAATGATGAATAGTTAAAGTGCCAACGCAGCAAAACGAGGAAAATAAGGAGTCTACACATGTTCAGCTATGACAAGTGTTGCTTTTCTTGCAAAACTTTATTAAACTTAAAAAAAATAAATAAATAAAACTCTCCAGGCTTACGCTGCCTGCATAAGCCTGGAGAGTCTTCTATTTAAACCTCCCATTACTCAATATCTAGATCTGTTTTAGACTAATGATAAAGTTTTTTTCATAAAGGGCAACACAAAATGCCGGCTATGGTAATGCCAGCAGAGAGCTTAATAACCATTTCATCGCTTTTCTCTCTGCTGACTTGCTCTTTTTGGCCCTAAAAATAGATGTTCCTCTATTTTTACTGCTTGCAGTCCCTCTGCAGCTTGTTGAGGAGTTGGCAGCAGCCTGTTTGCAGCAACAGAGATGTATTTAGCGTAGAAGTGTCAGTGGGGATGCTCAGACATGGACACAGTGAATGAGGACGGAGCTGCTGAAGTTTCCACCT